CACAAGGCATTCAGCTGTCCAGTCTGTTAGGGGGCTTGAAGAGCTGCCTCAGATGCACTGGTCAATACAGGTTTGTTAAGGGCTTTGATTTTTTTCCTGACTGATGTTATGGGAAAATCCAGACACCCACATGTGGCTCATGCTCCCTGCTCTGGTGCTTTGCTCCCCCACCAGAAGTTGGCTTCATGCCTCTCACCTCCCCTGGCAGTGGGGCTAGGTAAGAGCATGGGTCTCATTCCTGCCTGGCACTTAGCAGCACTGTCAGAGACAGTGGTGTATCATCAAATCCCTACACATTTCCAAGAGAATGATGCCTTTCTGTAAAACCCTGATTTACATGGTGTGGCCACAAATTAAAAAGATAAATTTTGTTCTGGCTTATTGGGATCATTCTTGAGAGAAAATGTTTGAAATAAAACTCTCCAAATGGTCAAATGGTCTGTGGTCTACTTAGTCCCAGATATTAATCTCTGCCTACAGTGCTGTAAGGCTCTTTGCCTCATGAAAAAAAAAAATTCCATTCTTATGAATTTAGTTCATTCATGTGGAGTCAACCTTATAGGACTATTATTACCTTCTTTATTGTTTTGTGACAAAATAGAATTTAAAAGAAGGAAAGGCATTGGCAACTCATTTTGTGGCCCAGTTCATAGAAAGGGAGACAAATGATCTTTTCTTAATCTTTAAAAATATACAAAGCTCTACTAAAATAGAACTTCATATTATGTTTTGCAGTTATTAACTTAGGAGGTAATGGGTTTCCACTTACTCCTGATAAAAGCTTCCTATGTTAACTCCACCTACTGCATAATGTCTTGGCATGATGTGCAGAATTTTCTTTGTTATATAGTTAGGGATTGGCAACTTTTCCTTTATGCATTCCAATTTTTAGGCAAAGATAACTCCATGAGTTCTAAGATTGCAAGCTTGTGTTCTCCTTGAAATAGAGAGCAAAGCAGTAAAAATATATTATTTTTAGATTGCTTGTTAATCTTCTATTTTATTATGTGCCACACATACATTATTCAGAAAATTTTCGTAAAGCATGAACATGAATAAATACTATGATTCTTTCTTTACCACTAACCTAATATTTCTAGAAAAATGTGATTAAAAAGAGGTTTGGCATAAAGCTCTTTTGCTTTCAGTCTCAATATTCCTGGATCCTCACTCCCAATTTATACAAACCTAAATTTCATTTAAACCCTCTTCCTCACTGACATGAGAACTGAGAGGAGGGAGAAATGAGTGTAACTGATGGGGGTGTGTGTCTCATCCTTTTTGAGATTCCCAAAGCTTCCAAGGCCTGGGAGAAAGAAGTGAATGCTGAGGAGGGGAAATTAGTCTTTATGTAGGAATTGATTTGAATTATGAAGCTAGAACACAGGGATTCATTCTTAATGAATATTTAACGATGGTGACTTAAAATTCGTGTAAAATGTCAAATCCTTTCCTTTGGCAATCTCAGTTCCTAAGGAGCATAAGATTTCCATGTCATGACACAATTCTTGCCTTCTTCACTGGAACTGTGGCCTTTCCACATGAGCTACTTAGGAGATATGTATTGATTGTTAGGGCCCAGAATAATGGCAAATTATTCTATCCAAAGTGCTGGAGAGTCCCACTTTGATTTGAGAGCAGAGAAAGAATTGAGGGGTTGATTGCCATAATAATTAGAGTGTCTTAAGTAATGAAGTGGAATTTTTATTATTTTTTCTTTCTTTTTTTTTCTAAATGTTTAGGCATATGCTACAAATTAGGATAGACTAAGAGAAGTGTTGATACATTCACTTAAAAAGTAGAATCTATGGTTCTGAATGCCCTTAGAGTAGAAGAAGATATCCACAAGATCCAGAAGTCATGGAATAATAAACACTGTTTTTACTTTTAATGTATGGAAGGCATATTTCACTCTGCTTATTATATAGAGTAAATGGAAGGAGGAAACATTGAGAATACTATGAAATCTTGCGTTTCTGACTCAGGATACTATTTAGAATGCTGATTGCCATTCACATTTTATGACTATGAAACAATATGAGTTTTATAAAATTACTAAGTTTATGAGAGGATTAAGCAGGTTTTACTTTTATAGTTGTAATGTGTTCAAATGCATTTGCATCAAATGGTAGATATAATTTCTCTTTGTAATTGAAATTTAAATCCCAGCATAAATATAGTGCTTAGAAAACTATTTTATGAGCCTTTCTTTTATAAGGATCTTACATGGAAAGAAGGTTACACAGCTGGAGATTGTTTAGAGACAATTAAGACTTATTGGCTTTTCAGCTCATGATAAAAAGCAGGGCTCTGAGACTTCTGGCATCTTGCAATTGTTACCCAGGTGAATTTTTTTTTTTTTTACTATACTAAGCTCTTTACTATTTTTTGAAAACATGTAGCATCAGAGACTTAAGGGATGATCTATTGGAGTTAAAGCCCATGGTGAATGCAAAGAATGCATTTGTCTTTAACATGATTCATTGAGGATGGGCCGGAGACTCTAGACATCTTTTTAAGACTATTACTCATTTCTTTTCCTGAGGAAAATATTGAGGTATGCTGTTAGTTTTTAGCATTCTCTGCCTCCTACTTCTAGCTCCTCTGAAATAGTACCAAAATGTAGATTTTTAACATCTACCTCCTCTTCTCTTCTTCAGACTAGGAAAGAGGCTGCCTGATCTAACACACCTGTAGTTACAGGTGACAAGTCCTGCTCCCTCACAGGTTGAAGTACAACATTAGAGAAGCACGTGGAGGCAAGCATATAAAGCACGGTTTACTTAAAAAGGGGTACCACAGACTGCTCTGGGGAGGGAGAAGGGGGCCATAGCTGGTATCCTGGTATCTCAAGAAGTGAGAGTGTTCTGCCTTTTTTATATGTCCTATACAGCCAGCTGTGGTGGCACACGCCTATTATCCTAGTGGCTGGGGAGGCTGTGACAGGAGGATCACGAGTTTGTTCTCCTGCTCTCTTCCCCTCATCTCTCTCCTGCATGCATGACTAGACCCAGAGATGCTCTGGTGGAAGGGTCAAAAGGTGAGAAGCAGATGGACAGGTAGAAGGGCCAAATGGAGTGATCCAGGCCAGAAGCAGCCCAGGACACATTAATTAACAACTTTTACAACTCCTTGGAGGGAGGGACAATTCCTGGAACAGGTTACCTTATCAACAGATTGGAGCAGGGCTAAGTTATCTTAAGAGTGGAGGAAGGGCTCTGAAGGCATTAACATTTCAATCCCTCAGGAGATCTAACTTCCGGGACCCAAATTGGCCTCCATTCCCTGAATGCAACTCTTGCCTATCTGCACTGACTATCTTTCTTTAATTCTACCTTTGTTTAATTCACAACCAGCTGAATAGGTGACTTAGTTTGATATCCAAAATATTGCTGATAGGGGTAAGGACTTTAAAATATGGCTGATTGTCATTTGTTTTATGTTTATGAAACAATATTAGTTATAAAATTACTAATTTGGGGTGTCTCTAATGAGGGATTTTCAGAATCCATTGTAAAATATTTTCATTGAAGGCATCTTCTGATATCTCACAAGTCAGACCACAAAGTGGATACTTATGTACACAAATATCTTCACAAAAAAATCCTCTTTTATAGTTAAACACATTAAAATGGCAACTGGTTCCCTTTACCTTGTAGCAAAACCACAGTGGCCACAACACTCAGGTATGAATACATAAATCTGAAGAAATTATCGTTTTATACTATTAATGTAACCAGTAGGAAAAAATATCTTGCCTTATTCTTAATAATGTGAGGTTGGATATTACGTGGACAAGGATGAATCTATGTTAGAGAAGTTTGCTTTCCAACTTGAAATTTTTACCCTTATTTGATTTAAATCTCTCTCTATTTTAATGTGACAGGATTTATGTCTTGATATGTAGTTCCAGGCAGCATGAATACCAAATTAGCTTAATTTGTTCTATTAGACTAGTACTATGTGTCTGTTAACTTGGGGGGGGAACATATTGAACTTGTCTTTGATTTGAAGTTTCCCGCAGTGACTAGAGATGGTGTCACAAATGCTTCCATCTCTGTACTTCGCTTCTGCTTGACATGGTTTTGTTCTCCTTGACAGACATTCAGTGGTAAAAAGTAGTGTAATTATTAATTTCCCACTTGACATCATGTGCATTTCAATGCTAAGCTACCAGGTAAAAGTGTCACAATCCGTTTCTATTGTATTTATCCATTGAACTTCACAGTGTTCCTAGCAAACCCTTCTTGTGTCAGAAAGAAGGTGACTGTGACATGCAGATACCAAGTAAAATTAACTTTATTAACAGTACTTGACCTTTCATAAAATACTCAGTTTTGTCAGCTACTTTACTTAATGATGATAGTTCAGAAAAATTAACATGCATCATCTTATATTTCTGGTGTTAACTAGGAAAAAAAATTATTTTAGCAACAGCTGCACATGGGTCTCTCACATATTGAGCAAATGCTACTCCCTGGGGCTGCAATAACTGCCACGCTCTAGTAGGTACAGGGAATACCAACCACCCTGCTTTTTTGCAGTGATATATGGCAAGGGGCAATTGCTTCTTACAAATGCACTATTGATTAATTGCCCTCGGAGTTACATCTCAGTGGCATTAATTTGAGTGTTACTGCAGAGGTGAAGGGCACCATGCACCAAGGTGTGAGTGGAGCCTAAGTTTCAGGTTACCATGAGGCCTAAATTTCAGCCCTGTAGAAATCACCTGTGATCTGGATAGAAAGAAAAAGTGACTTGTCTAAATCAGTTTAGTGTGGGGAAGTAGTCAGAAAACTCTGGTTTGTAAGGGTTATTTTCTAATGACAGGGCAATTCAGCAGAACGACACTGAGATAACAATTTCCTTATCCAGAAAATGGAAATAGAAAATTCTGACTACCCTAGTGCTATGTGCAGGAAGACATACTAAAACACTTTAAAAACAACTCTAAAAAGCTAAATAATAAAACTTACCTTTTTTGATTATTCCAGTGGAGGACCACAGATAATCAAGAATGACCAAAGCAACATAAAAATGACTGGATACTTCCACAAGTTCAGTGAAGACCATCCTATGGAGAAAGAAGGAAGATTCTCTGTGTCACTGAGACATTTGAAAGGAGAGGGCTTTTCTCAGTTTCTTTAGAAGACTAGTCAAGTGACAGTCAAAGTGCAGTTTTTAGAGATTTTGAACTTGAAGTTATAGCTCTTGAAAAGTTCATAAAATATCTAATTTGGAGAAAAAATATAGATATGAATGATAGATATGATTTTGAGAGAGTGGGGAAGAAGAATGCAAAGCTTCATGGTCATTTTTTTTTTGTCCATGTAGCACCTGTAAATGAAAGAAATTAGCAAACTAATAAAAATTGATTGAACATTGCTTTTAGGATAATTTTGGGTGTACAAATATGACAGTGATTTCGGAGGCACTTGTTTACTTAACCACTACATGAAAAGGCCGATGTTGTAAAGAAGAGGTCAGATAATTCTTCTTGCTGTGGTCAGGATGAGGTAAGAGCCTTGGGGTGGGAGTGCAATGGAAGGGCCAGCAGATGACAGCTGGGACAGCTGAGGTCCAGAGAGATAATATACAATTTGGAGAGTCAATGAGGAAAAGAGGACAGAGTAGCTTAGATACTTAAGAAAATTTTGGGGTAAAATACACATAATGTAAAACTTTCATCCTAACCACTTTAAGGGTACAGTTCAGTGGTCTTAAATACATTCATATGAATGTGCAACCATCACCACCATACATCTCTGTGACTTTTCATTTTATAACATGAAGCTCTATACCCATACATTAAGATTGAAAATAAGGGGCTATTTTTCCCCGCCCCATATAATTACCATTCTACATTTTTGTCTGTATGCATTTGACCAAATCTAAATGGAATCATGCCAAACTTATGATTTTGTGACTAGCTTATTTCACTTAGCATAAAGTCCTGAAAAGTTCATCCAGGGTGTAGCACTGCAGTTGACATATGTGCCACAATTTTGGAGCACAGTGGGGGAGGTGGAAGGAGCAATAACTGATCTCTGTGTGTTCATTTAGACTTTCATAACAAGCCGGTTGCAGTGACGTACAGATGGCTCAGAAACCTGAGGCAGGAGGATTGCAAGTTCAAAGCCAGCCTCAGCTACTTAGCAAGGGCATAAGCAACTTAGTGAGACACTCTCAAAACAAAACAAATAACAACAACAAAACAAACAAAAAATGAATTGAAGATGTGGTTCAGTGTTTAAGTGCCCCTGAGTTCAATCTCTGGTACCAATAAATAAATAAATAAATAGATAGATAGATTGATTGATTGATTGATAGTAAACTTTCATAACAAAGATGACTCTCAGATCCTTCAAAAAGTACAGGTGAATAAGGCCATTTTTGGCCAAGTGACAGCCTTCATGGGGTGACACTGTGATCTATTATGATTCAATCATTTCTCCATATGAAAGTGAATATTTCAGTCATGTTTCAAGTGTATCCTCATTATAAGGGGGATGAAGTTAAATGACCTGAAAGAATGTCAAGAAATATCTCTGCCTATTAAAAGATGCCCTCTATAAGTTTGTAGGGGTCTTCAGGACTGTATGGGAGACAGTGAAGTCACCTTCCCTACCAGTCACCAGCCTTCACTCCTGCCGAAATGGGCACTCCCCATTGCTGTCCTCACCTGGCACTCTCTCAATATCTATTTTCTGGTTTCTTCTGATTGATATGTTAGTTTTAGTGCATATACTTGTCATAAATTGAAGGCTCAGTGAAATATAAGAAATGATTGAGATTGCAGATTGTAGGCAGGCAAACCTTACTTCACCAGCCCAAGGGGTAATTTACTTCTCATCTCCTCCCTCTTTCTCAAAATAAAGCACCTCTGACAAATGGTATATAAAGAAAAACAGAGCAAACAGAAGAGGGGAACTTTGCAATTTATTAACTCAAGCATGAAAGTACAGAAAATAAGCAGGGCTCAACTTACTTGGAAAAATAAGTTTGAACCTATTGCATTAAAACATGGTGTTGCACTAATCTAATGAGTTTTCAGGCAAATGAGGCATGAAACATTGCCAAAATATAAAGTCAGTAAAATATCCAAATTACCCTTTAATGCCATTATATGTTTTATCTTATTGGGAGCTAGTAAAAAATAGATTATTTCTAAATCTGCATCACAAGCAAAATAGGTGAAATTATTTTACAAAGAATTGATTATTTTGGTAAGTGGTGAATAGTGTCAGATTGAAAGCAATTGAAATCCCAACAAAAGATACACATATGCTTAATTCATAAGAAAGCATTAACAAAATAGAACACATTTTTTACTTCATTCATTCAGTTCTTAAGAATTCAAGATAACGCTGATGCAGATGAGACATGGTAGTGTATAAGTAATTTTGAGGCTAGCATAAAGTAACTAAGGACTGAAATGCATTTTTCTTTTAAGAAAAGATAGAATTATTTACCAGACATATGCATAAGACTTAGGAAAGAATAATGAACATATCTTTATCCTGGAGTTGTTCCTAGAGTTATTCTATTACATTCTGGATATGGTTGGGTGGAGCATTTCCTATAGCTGAGTGAGATTAGTGAAAAGCTTTGGGTTATGTTTTCAGTGGTGAAAAATGGAAATGATTTAGTCTATAAATGGTGATTGTATTTTAGTACTGTCAAATTATTAATTATTGCCAAATTATATAGAGCTTAGTAAGGGTAGGTAGCTCATGAATTTTAAAAAATTCTTATTTATATGGTTGTTTGAATCTATTTATGTACCATTTGTAATTAATTATTCCACTGACTGGCACTATTGGCTATTACTTGACAAACTGTTTTTCAGAAGCCTTATAGTGAATGTAATTTTGTATTTACTTTGCCTAGGTGAGGCAGGGATAACTTAACAATTTTTATCTTGTTCAGTGTATATTGACAGTTCATTTGGTTTTGAATGACTCTAAATGATTCTCCACACTTGCATAGACGTGCTTATCTGTGAATGAGCAGGTTTCTCATGTGTACTTGTGTTTGTCACCTTGTGCTGATTTAAACGCCCTTGGTGCTCTAGAATCATAACGTTAGAAGGAAGACAACAGAAAGAGGAGCTAACCCAGCAAAAAGGAGAATTCTGAGTTTCTTATTCAGACAGGATTGAGAAATTGCTCCTTTGGTTCCCAGTCTACCACACAGCCTGGGGCCCAGCCAGAAACTCCTTCATTAGGAGTTCTCCTTTGCCCCTACTATAACCAGTTAGCACGTATATATCCATGCCCTTGTCTTATTCTTATGCCAAATTTGGGACCCTTACGCTATCTAGCCTCTTCTACTGAGCTTTGCATCTTGAACTCTTATCCAATCAAGCTCCTTGCAACTTCCAAGATAAGTTGCATTGTTTGTTACTTCTTTTCTGGCAAATGGCAATGCAGATCATGCATTCCACCTTGCCACATGGCCCTTAAAAAGGCTTGATAATATAACATTTCCAATTAATCACTACCAATAAGTTACAATGCCGTTAGGAAATAAACAAAAATGTACCAGAATTGAGAAGAAATTTCCTTGGACTTCTTTAAAAAAAAATCTGCTTATGATTTTATGATACTTAAGCACATAATTTAATTTGCCATTTAGTCTCCATGACAAGAGAAAGGGTGAAACTCCATGAAATCTCAAGTCTGCATCTACGTTGTATGCGTCCCTTAATGCTATTTGGAGCAAATTGCTTTGGGTTTGTTAATAACCCTGGAAAGAATGAAAAAATAAACCGTTCTGGTGCAAATAAGTTTGTTTAGATGTTATGCTAAATTAAGCAGGTTTATTTACTGACACTATTCTTATGTGATAATTTGTGCTGTGAACCTCCAAGAGGAAGGCTTCCTTAGGCAGTATTTCCCCAAGTTTGTGTGAGCATGCATATCTCATCTCAGAACACAGCCTGTGAAAGGCTGCTCTACCAAGTGGCCTGTCAAGCAGTTCATAATTCTGTCTACTGTGCAGTACAATTTAAGCCCCACCTTCCTGATCTTTAATTGGCTGCAATGTTGAATAGCCAAATATAAATGCCAGATCAAACTTTCATGAGAGTATAATCAATACCAAAATAGATCACTGTGCTTATCAAAGTTTCCCTGCCATAATTTAAACTTTTCTAGTCTCCATATGAAAATGCTTCTCCCAAATTAATGATGTCATACATCATCAGAGAACAGCAAACCCTGTCTGAATCATAATAATGTGGTATATTTTCTGTTTGGGGGAGAGGCACAGATGGGGGGACTTATTAGACATTTTATTAGTTATGCCACTGCTCCTTACCTTTGCAAATATTGTTCCCTCCTTCTTAAATGGTAATTCAGGGTTCTTGGCAGATACTCGATGTGAAAAAACCTAGGGAGAGAAAAGCAGGGGAGTTATTGGCTCACATAAATTGAGCAAACCAGGCAAGGGCTAGAATACAACTGGATCCAGGCCTTGAAAACAGCAAGGACTCTCCCCAGCTGCCTCTGATCTCCGCTTTGTCTGCCTGTTGGCTGCATTTCTTTTACGCTGCAGCTCCACTTTAGCCACGTGGCCTTGAATGTGGCTGCCAACAGCTTAATGCCTGACATTTTCCTTGCTTTGCCACCAGGGGCCTTAAAGACTCTATTCTCTTCCTTGTAATTTAGAAAATCCTAAAAGAGAATAATGACTGGCCCGTCTTGGATCACTTACCACCTGGACCAATCACTATGCCCCAAGAGCAGAGCCATTTAGAAAGATGGCAACTTCCCTGCCTGAACATCCCATAGTAGAGTCAGGAAGAAGAGCAATAAGTGTTCCCTAGGATGAAGGTGCAGTTCTCAGAAGAAACATGGGATATGAATAATTTCCCCCCAAATAAATGTTCCCCTTGAAGGTCCGCCACTTTTACCTAACTTCATTTCATTCCTAGGTCTCACCACAGGGGCCTTGACCCTTAGAAGCATCCCCCATACTCTCCGCCCCCAACCTAAGCACTGTGAGAGCTTGAGAGGTTTCAGTGAGTGAAGGTGAAAGAAAGGACACAGGAAGGACAAACAGAGCAAATGATGTTCACTTCCTTAACATCCTTAAAGTGAGCCATGTGTTGGGAGCCTCCTGGGTGGTGTTGGTGTGTGTTAAACAGGGATATCATCCTTTGACCTTGCAACTTGCAAGGGAATCAGGTTACCAGGGGTCATTTGTGTCTGTCTGCCATAGTTTCTTAAATCTCTTCCAGGCCAATGATTCTGGTAATTGTCCTTGCGTCTAATGTCTTAGCACTTGTGACATTCAAGCTCAGTTCCAAATTAGTCTCTTCTGTCCCCTTCTGGGAGAATGAAAAGAAGGGGGAGGACAGATGACACTTCCACATCTTTTCTTTTATCTGAACATCACCACTGTGGATCTCCCTGTCATTTTGTAGAAATTTTGAGCATTGTGATTCTGCTGCCACAAAATTTGGTTACCTTGCTTAGCATCTGTGGGCAGACTAGACTTGTATAATGATGAT